CAAGATTCTTGACAGAACAGACAAATCTTGCCCTGCCAGCCAAGATTCGGTCTACATGATTCTTGGCTGAACAGACAAGATTTGTCTATTCTGTCAAGAATCTTGCTACCGTCTTGAACAAGAACCTGGAAAGAATGGGTCCAAGAACGCCGATTAGTGATGTTGACTGCTCTGAAAAAAAAAGGAGGTTTGCAGAACCCCTCAAAAAGGTTCTGTAGATTTCTAAAAGCATCCAAATGTGTCCAAAGTCTCAAAAAACGGATAAAAANAATATATTTTCTATTCATATGTAAGAATAAAATCATGTAAAAATAAAAAAATTACAGAGCAGAAAAGTCAGCTGGAGAAAGGAAATATCCGCTGATAGCTTATTCATGTTTTGCTTTTCCTTTAGCTACTGATACATATATATATATGATATTTCATGAGATATATAAAGTCCCACATATATTCGTGGGACTTTTCATAAAGTGGACATTTTTTGGATCTTCGACATTGTTGTTGAGAAATGATCTTACATTTGTACAATTTTTCCTCGTAAGCTTCGAAATTCTGCGGAAATTCGTATCCAAAAAGAAGAAAACTATTTCTAGTAAGTATTTAAACATGTGTTATGAATGGCTTCTATACTTCTACATTCAAACTTCTAGTATGTTTAGTTAACATCGTGACAGGGTTAATCCCATTCTATTGTTGAGTACTGATGTTACTGTTTTTTTTAGAGAATATCGTTAGATATTATTTATATGAAGTTGACTTTTGATAAATGGAAACAAATTAACCAAGCTTTTCATGTTATCTATCAAAAACTTGAACATCGAATGCTGAATATATATTATCTTTTCATAGGCTGATACAGATTTTCGCCAAAGAGTATTGACGACTGGTTGTTGTTCGAGAAAAAGTGTGATAATTCTTTCTACAATATATTGGCTATCATTCAGTCGTTGTCAAAGACCTCATGTTGGTTTTCAATTATACTATGCAGTTTGTTGTCCTAAAAAAAAATGGTAGAAAAAACGTTCAAAAAAAGCTAAGAATTCACCACAAATATGGCTTACAATGTTGATCACTGAATCTACGTTTATAGAGAAAAATTATTGTCAATGTTTATTTTCAAGAAAACCAAATTCGATGAAGCAGACGGAAGACTTTGTTCATGGATATGATAATTTTTCATGAATAGATGTTCTATATAAACAAAACAACTAATAGTTGTTGTCTTCTACAAATATGAATACAATAATCAGACGTTACACTATCGTATTGATATATCAAAGTTCATCATAATCCCTAAAAGTAACAGGTTATCAATTCATTTTCTTTTCGAGCTTCAGCTGAATCATCTAATCATGTTTGTGAGCAGCGATCTTGTACAGAAAACAAAAAACAAATGTTCTATAAGCACGTGTTCGACGCCCTTATTTTCGGTTTTATCCATGGCAGTGACCTCTTAAGTCTCTGACAAACATGTGACTTCGTGGAAGGATATTTTTCTCAGTGTAAACTTATACTTCCTTTTTGGGTAATGTAGCAAAAGTTAGATAATTAACATTATATGAGAGACTTGTTTCAAAAAATTTCGTTTTCAATGGCAATCCTATGGTAATTCTTCTCATGCTAAAAAACAACTTATGCACAGACTTATTGTGTTTTTGATAGCATTGTCTTACAAAATATATGAAGACTAGAATCTATTTTAGTCTTTCATTTTGATCTCATGATCAATTCAAATGTGATAAAGTTTTCATATTTATACCAAATTCTTTTATGGTTAGACTGACTCAAAAGTTCTGTTTGTATATTTTTAGATAAAGACTTTATAATTTAGAAACACTACTGTTTGCTTTTGACTTTTGCTAATAGAGAAAATTTATTTGACTCAATTAAAATTATTATGTTTTTCATCTTTTTCAAGGCATTGTATCGAATTTTCATAACAAGAAATACAAGTTTTGTATTAAGATAAAATTAAAATAATATAATTTTCTTTTATTTATGAAAAAAAAAAGTTTTCATTATTATATTTGACAGAAAATTATATAATATTCCATTAATTTCATTCTAATTAGTATTCTTTTCTAATTCGCGGCATGTTCATTCATCGATCATCCATACATGAAAACAGTTTGAGCTTAAAAGTGAAGAAAGCTGAGTCTAACATTGAAAAAAGAACGATCGATAGTATTTGAAATAGACATGTTTCTATTCGTCAGCACCATTGTGAGTGCCCTGAATACTCGAAAATCTTTCTTATAGTGAACAACTCAAAAGTTTGCGTAAAAGATGGTTGTGGGATACATCATCAAACAAGAATCAATCAGCAGAAATTAATTTTTCAACTATATAGTTCTTAATCAATCGAATAAGAAGTACTCTGGCAACACTTAATTCTTCGCACAAATCCTAGATGTCTACGAGCCAAGATAATATGTTCAAGAACAATTTCTATTTTTGATGAAATTCTGTAATGAAACTCGCTTATAGTATATTTTGCTCGTTTATGTAAGTAGTTTTTTCAACAGAAGCGATATTTTTAGATAGAGCTTAACAAGTTTGACCGAATATTTCCATTTTGAGCGCAAGTTGATTTAATATTTGCATCCGTTATTTAAAAAAAAAACTGTGTCGCAGAATTTCATAAGTATCCAATCAGAGGTCCAAACAGGCTGCGTTTTTGCCGGTCTGGTCTGTGAAGACCTTTCTATTTATTTTTCAAGCGAGTACACTGATAATGACACAGTTCAAGGTATAATTTGAATATGATTATCTTCCAACATCCTAATGTAGAACAAACCAAATGATCTATTCAATCGCACGAAAACTATGGATTTCTTTTAATTCTTAAGCATATTTTCTTACTTTTTGTCAAGATTTCATCTGAATGATAAGACGTTTTTATACTTTTTTTTTTATGTTTTGCAAATATGACTGATTTTAAAATGATTTCGTCATATACAACATTGGAAAAAAAGGCGTTCCCCTGTCTTTTCTTTCGATTGGTGAAAACCACAGGTCTCTAGCTGTTTGCTCTTGAGTTATTCAAAAAGCAGTGGAGGGCACCATATTCTGAAATGGATAATAGAAGCTGAAGGAAACGTTTACGAAAGAACTTTGTTTCTAATGAGAAAAAGAAATTCACATTTAGTTTCATTAATATTCAGTATTTAGCTTCATGACGATCATCAATAGTAATTATTAAATTTTCAATTGTTGTTGTAAATTTCAGACTTAGTTGTGAATGAGATGATGAAGCATCAATAACGATTGGAGATGAAAGATTAACGTCAGTCACTTAACGAAAAAATATCGTTGAAAATTTTTGAATATAAGTACCACCACAATCAAAAATAGAAAAGCAACGAAGTTAAACAAGAACACAGAATACAGACCAACGATAAGATTTACAGTCATGATTAACCTTAATTTCAACCGATCACAATTAAGACAGACTAATTATTCAGTTCTTTGATAAAATGACTTTACTACACTTTAATCCTAGCAACATCTTCCATTTATGAGATAAAATTTCATTATGTGAAAATACAACATAGGCCTAAAAAGTGTAGCCTATGCCTGTGACAGGCAAGTAGGTCGACAAGCCTAATGGTCTGCTTGGACCTTTATATCAGATTTTTCTAATATTTGTAAACCATTAAGTGTTTCGCACTTTTTTTTGGTCATAAGTATGTATATATTTGGAATTAGCATCAAATTCTGAACAAAATGGAGTAGTTAGTTAGTCAAAACTTCAACTTGCATTTTTCTCGAAAACTGCTCTGGTCGAACAAGTTGAAAAACTTTTTGTCGTTGAAATTTAGTGAAAAATATACTATTTGATGCAGAATTTCATGCTGGTAATACATATCTGGTGGCATTCAACTATTTTGCTTTTGTTTTGACCCAAACTGTGATTTTCGAAAAAAAGAATGAAATTCCATAACGTACAGTCACGTCGTTAGTTAACGTTTGTTTCTTAGTATTTATTAATACTTTTGCGTGTATAAATGATGTTTTTTTTCGTGAAAGATTTACTGTCGTCAATGATGAATTGACGGTAATAATAATGTGCAACGAAAAATATCATGCATTTAGCTGCTAGCTTTCGTCACGTGACAGTTAAATGCAAGGTTTGAACTTTATTCTATTCGTGTCTTTAAATAGGAACAATTTTGAGGGTATTAAAAAAGATATAAACGAAGGTTGAAGCATGACAATCTTTTCTTTTGGATATTAATAAAACGCCATCTATATACCTCAACATTTACACGGCAAGAAAATACAAAAGCTAATTTGACAGACCTAATTAAGCTTAAAAGGTTTATTAGGAACCATGAAATTTGAATTTTTCGATGATCACTTTTTTCTATCATTGTTATAAATATCACAATAAATATAAAAATGATTAAACAATTTGCAAAAAAGCGAAAATTTTCATTGATTAAATATAATTTAAGTAAAAGAATAAATATCTATTGATACAATGGAAATTTTTAGGTGATTTTAGTATCAATTTGGGAGTTCGATCCTTAATGATCATTCTCTATGAAAAATCAATATTTAAACGTAGCTTAAAATAGAATGATCTTTTGATTTATTGCTCATATTCAAAACACTCCTTAATTTTGATCATAATAAAAATTTCTTTGACTGATCAGCTGTTATTGCTTTACTGAAATAAAACAAGACCAAGTTCATGATAATTTTAAAATAAATTTTGATCAACAATGAGCTTCTTTATACATCGTTGGAAAGAAAACACAATTTTTTACCATAAAAAAACCAAAAAGGCATAATGTTTCTGTGATCGTTGATTGTTTAGTAACATTTTAATCTCGCATAATTGTCATAAATATTTTTTTTTCTTCACCTGTCAGATTAAATATTGCTCTTAATAAACTTATCAAAACCTTCATTTTATCGCATGCAATGAGCAGATATATAAGAAATGTTTTAAAAACAAAACGCACATCATCAATTATTTTTTGAATAATCACAAAATGTTCAACCACGAAGAACTTGCATTGAAAATCTTAATTTTCGTCAAACTTGTTCTATTTATCTTACTTATTGTTTTCGCTTGTGTTTATGCATTACCTCTATGTTTTTTATCCCGTTTTCATTCACCAATTAATATGATGACAGTTCACGTATGTTTAGCTTTTATTGGCTCAGCTGTCTTTTGGACAATAGTATATATGTTAAATTTACGTAACGGTGCTTCATATAATATTATAAGTCAAGAACGATGTTCGATTGCTAGTTCTATTGAAACAATACTCAATTGCTTAGTTATCTATTCTTTATGTACAGTGTCAATTAATCGTTTTTGTATTATTAGGTATTCGAATAGAATTATGTTTAAATCACAACGATGGGCATTAGTATGTATTGGAATAACATGGTTAATTACTTTAATTGTATCAATACCACTTTTAATATCATCCCACAGAGAGGTTAGTGAATTGGAAAACGATATAAATTAATTATAATTACATAGTTCTTTTTAAGATATGTGTTAAGATGTTTGGTCAAACATTTTTTCTCGAACTTTATGTTCAAGTAATAGTTGTTATATTTCCAACAGTTATTTTTGCATTAATCAATATTCTCATATTTATTTATGCTCGTCAATCATCAAGACGTATTCGAGTTAACGCAGCATTACGGACAGTTATTATGAATAACCGAGATGTTCGTCTTCTCAAACATATGATTCTTATATTTGTTATATTTCTAAGTGGTTGGTCGCCTATTTATATACTTGTATGTATTGATTTTAATAGTGAACTATCACCAATTATATACCGATTTCTTTCGATTTTACCAGCATTAAGTTTACTTGGGAATATGATTGATCTTTTTTTATTTAATCATCAATTAAGATTATATTTTCGTCATTTATTTGTTGTTCGCCATAATAGAATTCAACCTATGATTAATAATCAATAGGAAACTACTGATTTTTTTTCAAGATGCATGTTTTGGTCATTGTTGTTTTCAGAAAATTGTTTGTCGTTAAAAATAAAATGATGTTCTCTTGAATAAAAATGTAGTTATAAGAATGTATTTTGTTTATAGATAATATTAGTTTTATTGTTGGATTTATACAAACTCGCGGTAGTTGAGCGCAAGAGTAGAAGACTATAGACAAAGTCATGATAGTAACCCTTCGGTTGTTGATTCGATTCCGGTTCACAGAATTTTTTTGTTTGTCCTAACATACATGATATTCTCACCTGAGTCTATTTTTCTCATGTTCAGAATAATTCTATGATACATTAATTTAATTTATATAGTTGTTGTGACTAGTGGGTGGTTTCTATCATGCAGAATTACAAAGTAAATCAATTCTATAGACTATTTTTCGTTTCATTCATGAACAATTACTAAACTTCATTTATTTTGTTCCTATCTCCGTTGTAAATTGAAAGAAGAAAATAAATATTCAAAAATGAAAATATTGTTTTCTTCTTATTTCTATTTATTCTCAGATTTATTTTCATTATTGTTTTCTTTGCTTGTTACATGGAAACATAATGATTATTAATAAAATTTTCAAAGAAGTTTGAAAAATATTTCATATAAACAAAAAATGAATAGATTTTCACTCACTATTGTTAATTTATCAAATAAATTTCTATTTAAGTTAAAGTCAAAATAAAAATTTCAATAAAAAAAATCAAACTTAATTTTGAGAGAATTCATTTCAGTACCAACTCAGATTTATTGTGCTTATGATTTACCTGAAATTATCTTTCAGTAACGTTCTTTATTTAGTACAAACAAGAATGTCGATTGAAATTTGATTCTAATAGTCTGTAGATACTAATAGAAATCGTCATCAGTTAAATGTGAACTTTTCTTTTCTTTTTTCTAATAACTAAGCAATGAGACTGAGTTCAATATTCTCTTGCATATCTAGTTATCCATTTTCGTTTATACCAGTCGTAAACAGCAAATAAAAATTCGTTTTATTTTTAAATAATAAAAATAATAATAACTCACGATAAAGAATGGTTCCAAGATTGAATTCTTCATTTGAGAAAAAGAGAAATTATTATATGAGTATTAAAATCATTTTTCACTCTATTGAGTATAATAAAAACGACTTTACTACAAAGACTTTAGATTTATTGATGGCATCCAACTGATAAGTAGACAAATCCGATATGTCATTCATTGGCAGACTTTTATTACTCTTCAAAGAAGATAATAAATAAGAGATGCCGTTCTTCCTGTCAAATTTTAAGAGACACCAATATCACAAAAGTGAACGATGCTCTCGTTATATACATAGAGTAAAACCTCTCTATAGTGGACACCCAAGGGATCTTTCAAGTGTCCACAGTCCAGAATAGAGAGATGTCCACATTTGAGAGGTTCCTTTCCAGCAAAAAATGCTCGGGCGGACCGGGAGTGTTCCCAGTATGGAGGTGTCCACATTGGGAGATTTTACTGTATTTATATATATATAATATCTATACAATCTTTGAAGAAAATTCAAATAGACAACTTTAATTTTTAAAGATTAGTAAAATATTGATTTATAACTTGTTATTCATTCATAATTACATGGTTTAGTTATTACTTTGATATCTACAGAATGCGTAAAAGTATCTTTTCAGGGAAGTAATGCTGTGATTTTAAATAACATTAGTAACGAATTTTATACCAAATGAAAGTACATTAAAAATGGGATTTATCAATGTTAAATAGTAAGGACTAGGGCAACTTTTCAATATAGAATTCAGAAAGTTCCTAAAATTTAATGTCATATTGGCAGAGAAAAATTCCTTTCATAGGACAGTTCAAATCAGATCTCGCATAAGATGATGAATATAATAAATAATCATACTGACGATCATTAGCGTTGTTACAGCAAGAAGATGAGACGAATAAGAACATAAAATAATTTTATATAGATCAGTGTTTGTGTCCATGTGTACTAAAATATATGAAATATGTTTGTTTCAAAGCTTTTTAATCATAACGATTATGTTTCATCTTTGATAGGAGTTTTCTCCAGTTGTATATTTGACTATTTTCCGAATATTTCTTGCCCAAATATCCAGTACTTTGTTATATTCATCATTTTAAATGAGGTCTCATTTGAACGGTCTCATGAAAGAAATTTTAGGAATTTCCTAAATTCTAAACTTAAAATTTGTCATAATCCTTACTATTTAGTATTGGTAAATCCAATTTTTAATGCGCTTTCATTTGGTATGAAATTCTTTGTTGATATTATTTAAAATCACAGTGTTACTTCACTGGAAAAACATTTTTACGCACCCTGCAAATATGCTAATACATCGTGATCAATTCATGTGTATGTCAAACAGTTAAGTTTAACCATCTTTATTTTACAAAATGTTATTCGAGCAATATTAACACGTCATTTAAGCACGAAACAAGGTTCACGTTATATTAAATTACCTTTTGTATTCATTTATGAAATACGAACAATAATATTTAGTATATAATTAGTCTTTGGTTGAAGAACATAATATTAATATTAGACCAAAAACAATAGTAAAGAGAGCCCTGAAAGAAACATACATTACAATGAAATTATATCTAGTAGCATTCATTAATCTAGACTATAGAAAATAATCTAAATTTAGATGTTATTTCAAAATTGGATAAAGTTACTTATGAAGTAAATTAATATTCAAGGTTAAATTAAGATTTAAAACATTTTTTTCTAATAGGTCACTAGTCAATTGAAACTTTTAACAGCAGCAATATTTTAACAAGTTCTAATCAATCATCATATAGATTTTATTTAATAGTTTAGCTTGATTTTGGTATTTTACTTGTAGAAATGAAAAATCTTACTTCAGAAAAAGTAAAAAGATTATTACTGTTGTAATCTCTTATAAATTTATATTGGCTTTAGAGATTTTAATTAAAAAGTCTCGACTTTCTTTTCTTCCAGGCATATTAAATTTTATTGTTGGTGTTTATCTAAAAAAAAAACAATTTTCAAGCATAATGAAATCTTTCGATGAATTTTGGATGTACAGTTGACCACAGACATTATTATATTTTCTAGCTCATTAGTAATGTGCATATTTTTGATCGATACCAAATAAAGAATCATAGTATTCTGTATGATCAGACTAAATTAGTGTGGATCACTCTAGTCAAGACAATTCAATAGATGGATTCATTGTTGCATTGATTATTAAATATAATGATAATATTCTGAAATATTTTGCTTATTCAACATCTGACGTTTTTTTCATGTATTATTGCAATAACATTTTTTAATTTTTAATTAATCTTTCTCTTTTCAATCGGATGATTACTCGTTATGTTTTCTATAGATTATCTATCTTAATCCGGAACTGATTTTGCATATGCCAATTTTGAAATTAATTGCTAAAGATGAATCAGATTTTATCTAAATGATAATAAATATAATTAATTTTGTTTTCTATCAACAAAAAAGTATTCGAAATTAATTGAAGCAAATTTAAAGTTATTATCAATAGATAAAGCCTTTTAATTTAAAATTCAATAGTCTATTGATGATCGTCGGCTATAAAAATTGGTTATTATAGGTTGAATATTTTCAAAGAGTTCAAAAGGAAATATTTTTTAGTGAATTATCAAACTGAAGACTTTTCTATTTCATTTTCGAGCGTTGCTCATATCATTTACAAATTCGATTAGGCATTCGCTATAATTTTTATTTGATCGATGAATCAGAAAGATTAAGTTTAATTTATTATTGGAAAAAAAATACGTTTTGAGAACCACAAATTCAGATATTTGAGTAGTAAATTAATTAAATCTAATATAAACACAAAAAAAAACAGCAACATTAATAAATAGGTAAGGCATATGGTAGTGGAGTGCGAGTGTCGGTATGTATAGAAACCATAGTCACACCCACATGCTTTATATGAGAAAAACTACTTCTTTGTATATCATTATTTTCAAATTATTAAAATGTTAATCGAAATTGATTGAGCTTATCAAAATTCAGCAGCTGTATACATAGACAACACGATCTTCATTCATTTAAGATATATTAATGTTTTATTGGTTCTTTCTCATATGATGCTCAATTGTCTTATTTGTTCGTGCTTGTTTCACATATAACTAATCTAGTGATTAAAGTCACTATCATCCAAAATCATTTCTTTAAATTAAACAAGAAGTAAAGATTTCTGAGTATTGAATAATTTATCAACGATATTTCAAAACATGTGAGACTCTATAAGAATGTTGAATTTTTTCACGGATCTTTTGCATCCATCAACAATAAAATATTGTACTTAAAAAAGTAATCTCTTCTATTGCGTAGGAGTCTGCTGTGATGATAATTATTTCTCTCAATTACATTGATAAGATCTTAATATAAACCTAAGTGAAAATAATAATTTTAAAAAATCAGGTCGTATTATATAGCGTAATATTTAATTCTACTTGATCTTAGCTCAAAAATAGAGCAAGATTTATATTAAACTTTGTAATACATGTAACTGTGAACGGTCTGACGAATACAATTACAAAACGATCAATTTGATGAGACGCTTAAAGTTACAGCCATTATGAAACACAAGCCTTGCACACAGCGTTCTACCACGATAGATAATAAATTTCATAAATCAAAAGTTTCTTTTAGAATAACAATCATAAATTCTCCAAACTGTTTTGCATATAAAATTCTTCTATATAAAATATATATTATGGTAATCCTTGATTTCATATTGAAACAAATGAAATATTTTCGCAACCATATTTACATTGAGAATGTTCCTTTTGAACACTTCATTCGAAATTGTGAATTTTTGTTCTAACTTGGTTTAATCTCATGTTACCGAAAACAAAGAGAAATGTCTCGTTGATCAGTTATTTTTATTTACTTATTCGTGAAAATCTCATTTTACATATCAAAATTAATGCGACCTAAATATTTAGTGTCAAATATAAGAAAA